AAACATCTAATTTGAACCAGCACTGCATTCAACATACCACGTGACACATAAAAATCTATGTTCATCTGTGCTTTTATTAATATTTACTTTTAAATTAACAAATTGATTAATGTATAGTACTAAAATTTGAATTATAATCTACAGTTTGATACCAAACTTATTGACATAAATTCATGAAATAGTAGTTAAATAAAATTTTGAATGCGAGTCAACAAACGAGATGACATGGCCTTTCACCTGTGATCCATCTCGAAAGGGTTAAGCACCAAGCTACATAATGGGTATCAAAACCTAGTTTTTAGCATTATAAGCTTTCAGACTTACTGCTGTGTCACTAGAGAGGGGTCGATTAGTTATAAATATGTCCATCAGCCATGGAGCATTAAATCCTCTAGCTTTACTGAGATATCACTAAATATCTTACACGAATATGATAAGCCCTCCTGTTTCTCTCTACCTTCCAAAAGATGTCCACAATTCTTTCAGACATTGCTATTAGAAAAGTCTACATGAAATAAAAATAGTAGTTTCTTATCCACAATTAAAAGCTGAGTGGTGTTGGTTTTCACCAAATTGTAATCAAGTCTATGACTCTCATCTTTCTATTCTTCTAAAGAAAAGTTTGAGTGATGCTGGTTTATACTAATGTATTGTGAGCAAGTAATTTCTATTCTTCAAACTTTACCAATCAGGTAGGATGAAGTTCTTGGAACAATGATTAAAACACAGTATACTTAAGTTGATAATGTTGAAAAGTTACATCACTTGGGTGTGTTTCATGATTGTGATCTCTTGTGAACTGCTTACAAATGTAAAATTTGCTTTATTACTTAATATGCTTCTTGTTTCTGCAACAACATATACCATAAGATTTCATTATTTTGTATAAAATTAAACTTTACACAACAAGTTTTAACCAATGAAAAGATAAGAATAATCTTACCTCTTTCTAAAACCTCATATTCCTTCTCATCTCCATTTAACCTAACTAGATAACTGCAAGGTGTCATTGTACTAGTTACTACACAATATGTTTTGCTTTCCAGGTGGTAGCTAACAAAGTGTGGGGTGGAACGAAGCGGGACTTTTCTGACAGGCCAAGGAGCATCATAACTCAGATGAGTAGGTAGAACACAAATTCGGAGCTCATCCTGATACAAAGGTAATAAACTTCAAACTGTAGTCTGAAATTCATCTGTAATTACTCTCTTTTATAAAAATAAATTGTACATTTAACAATTATATAGATGGGTAAAAAGAGTTAAACTCTTCATTTCATGTTATTATTTAAACTGTCAATTTTATTTTGATACCTGACTAGATAGATCTACACAGTACATTGTACATTTATATCTTGGTAAACCGATACTTTCACATTAATATCTTACCAGAATTAAACTGTAAAATGGAGTTTAGATTGTACTTGTACTAGATGAAGTTAGAAATAAGGTAAGTACTGTAGTTTGCAAACAAGCTAATACTGCATTATTTAAAACTGTTTCCACAGCTTTTTCTTATCCATACAAGTAAAAATAAAAATATAGCTATACATAAAAACATACCTGTTTATTGAAATACAGAAAGCCTTTTGGACAGTTTACATTGTGGAAAGGAGCAAAGCACGATACACCACCATCAATTCCCATTGGATGTGAGCGCAGTTCTCCTCGAGTGGTCATGAAAAGCCAATGTGGGTAGGGTCCACAAATAAACACCTGAAATTATCAACTTTATCACTAGTTCTTAAGAGTTAGAACCTTACATATTTACCTCAAAAGGAAAACAATGCTCAATAGCTAAGTTTGGAAGAATAACAAAAATTCAAAAACTTGTGACAACAAAGAAATTCTTACTCCTGAATAACCAGAAATATCGCCATAGTAGCGTAGTGAACAATGACGATCAATAACTTTCTCCTGATCCACTGCCTCTGGTTTTCTTCTAGCTTTGAACATTCTCCTTTCCTTTAAGATTATACCATGAGAGAGCTGAAAAATTCATAAAATTAAACTCAAAAATCAAAGATTTCTCTCAAAATACTCATGTTTTCTGCAAGATAACTAAAGAATAGTCACGTACACACAAATAGTCTAGAATTAAAGTAAAAAGTATAAATAAACAATGCATCTTTAAATGATGAATGAATTTAAAACTAACCTTCTTGAAACGAAGCTTCAAGTGGTTTTCTGTCTGTGTTTCATAGAATGGAAAAGCTTCATATATAAGCAATTCCTCATCTACTCGAGCCTAGAAAAGAGCATCACACCAAAAAATGAACAGTAGTCATTCAAAAAACAATGATCTATACGCAGAAGATGGAGTGATCAACTAATTACAGAACAAGATTTAAGTAATGAAACACATTAGTTTCAAATCAGTCAGTCCACAATGCCAATCTATAAAGAATACAAAAATAAATTATTTTAACTCTCTTGCTGAATTTCACAAATGAGCTGCAGCCCATAAGCTGTTCATCACAGCTGTGAATGCAAGGTTTTAGCTCTTGTTATGCTACAATTTCCAGAATTGAGATAAAAAAACACATGGATAAAACCATCATGTTTGTATGAGATAGATAGATAGGTTTAGATTTATCAAAAACATGGAGAATTTCTCATATATTATTGTGTTGTCTTGTTCATGAAGAACAATGGTAATCATAGCATGATGTTAGCCTATTTTAGATGGTTTGGGTTTAATCCAATAATAATAGTTAGAAAGGGTCATTATGTTTTATGTCATGCTCAGCAGTAATTAAAGACAAATTATGCTCATAAACTGTCTTGTCCAGATCAAAACCCCAGTTATCCTGTTATATCCTTTGAGAGCTACCAAATCTTGCTGCTTTACAAGAGGAACTGGAATCTGTTTCCAACACATATAGTTGGTTAGACATGGTTATTGAGTCCAAGCTATGAGTAACATCAGAGAAGAGCTCTCTATTTCTTTAAACAATAGCAAACAACATAAACCCTTCTTCTAAAAGGTTGAAATCAGTTTTTTGTTCTATCAAAACTTGCAAGATAATAGTTTTCTTATGTACTTTCAGGAACAATTATACACTAAGTTGTAACATAATATTTGGCTTTTTTAAGGTACTGTGAAATGAAATATATCACCACATGGTTTACTTATAGAAATAAAAGTAGTAGTAGATGTGTCTAGTCTGTATTAACTATATCTATAAAGAAAGTTTACAAACAAAACACAAAAATTGCTCATAATAAACCAGAGTAATTCAAAATCAATCAGCCACATTACAATTTTGAAGAAAAGACAACTTATAGTAAATAAAGTCAATGTGTGTGCATCAGATATAAACAATGCCAGTCACTCCATGATACTGGAATTTCTAGTAATATACCATACTAGTTTCATATCAATACCAATTTGTTTGTTCCCTAAAGAGGGACAAGATTCTAGTTTTATATAAATACCAAACAATACCACTTTCTTTCCAACATAAGGACAACACTAGTTTTATACAAATATCAGACAAACAATAACAGTTTGTTTGTTCACAACATATAAATAAGACTCTAGTATTACATGAATATCAGACAAACAATAACAGTTTGTTTGTTCACAACATATAAATAAAACTCTAGTATTACATGAATATCAGACAAACAATAACAGTTTATTTGTTCCCAACATATAAATAAGACACTAGTATTACATGAATATCAGACAAACAATACCAGTTTATTTGTTCCCAACATATGGACAAGACTCTAGTTTTATATAAATATCAGACAAACAATAACAGTTTGTTTGTTCCCAACATATAAATAAGACTCTAGTATTACATGAATATCAAACAAACAATAACAGTTTATTTGTTCCCAAAATATAAATAAGACTCTAGTATTACATGAATATCAGACAAACAATAACAGTGTATTTGTTCCCAACATATAAATAAGACTAGTATTACATGAATATCAGACAAACAATAACAGTTTGTTTGTTCACAACATATGGACAAGACTAGTTTTATATAAATATCAGACAAACAATACCAGTTTGTTTGTTCACAACATATGAATAAGACTCTAGTATTACATGAACATCAGACAAACAATATCAGTTTGTTTGTTCACAACATATGGACAAGACTCTAGTTTTATATAAATATCAGACAAACAATACCAGAGTCATTTCAACATATGGACAGGACATTTTCTAGTAATAATAAGCACTACAATAAAAGTTTACCATTTAGTCAGGCAGAAAGCAAGAATTGTATATAATGCCAGTTTCTTTTCAAGATGAGGATAACAATAAACCTATATCCAGAAAACAGGAACAACGTAACACAGAGGATCCTAGGTGTATAAATAGCACAGATGTGTTTGTGGCAGGAAAGAGACAATTGTCTCACCTTATGCGAGAAACTCCAACATCCCCAGATAACAAGGAACCAACTTTTTAGAAAATAGCATTTTTGAGATGGCTTGACTGGTAATGAAAAAACTTTATTATAAATGTATGACATTTCAAAAAGATTTTGTACTAGAGGATGACAAAATCTTGTCGAAACGTTGTACATTTATAATAAAGTTTTTCATTATCCAGTCAACCCATCTCAAAACTTTTATCCCTAGATAAGTAGTTGGGTATTATTATTATTTTCAGGTAACAAAGCACTAGAAATTCTCTACTGTAGTTATCAACAGAAATGTGAGGTAGTATTGTGTAATTTGTGCTAAAAACTGAGCCTCAAACAACAGGGCACACAAGTGGGTATCAAACACAAGCTAACACTGGACACCTTAAACTGGGATTTGAAGCATCACATCAAACAGGCTAAACAGGCCATAACAAATCCTAAAGATATTTTAGAATATGTTATGGCC